TTGACGCCTAACAACAGCTGCATGAGAGGTGCTCACACCCAGCAAGATGTATGGGACTGAGGCTGGTCCAGGAAGCAACAGCTTCCCACTTGCTAGCCACCTTGGTCCCTCTGTGTCTCTTTCCCTATCACTGAATTCTCGTATGTAACGTGCATGTCAGTGCTAACAACCCTGCAGTGGGGAGTCATTGAGACACTGGTCCAGCTCCCTCCAAGGCCATGCCGAAGCTCTAGTGATAAACAAGGTGGGAAGCCAGGTAAAGCAGAGACAGAAGTACTGCAGTGTCAGAGTGAGTGAATGTGGCCTCTAAGTGAGGTAACAGAATAATGTTCAGGGCAGTAATTTTGGAAAATTTACTGTAACAGTCCACACTGCTGTTGCAGCAATGACAGCAGAGGGATGATGCCCTTAGTACAGGAGGGTGTTGGTCACTTGGGATAAATGCAGGAGAGATCTGGATGTTCTCCAGTCATTGAAAAGCTGTGAGGCAGAACTGACTTGACAGCAGCGAGTCGGTGGCATGGTCTTTTCTCAAACACTCTGAAACATCAGGAGAAACTTTAAAAATGCAGCCAAGGAAGGGAGACAAATTCTGAAGTTGTACGTGGCTGAAAACCTCCCACTTTATCCTACTTAAGGCTACCTTTCTTTGAATCATCCTTATTTTTATCTGTACTCTCTACTCAAGTAACTTTTGAGAAAATTGGGTATTCCTTGCCTTGACGCCCAATATGACTCTGGTGTCAAATTGAGACTTTTTCTCATAGCCACGTTCAGAGGCTCTTCTGCATCTCATTTCCTGCAACCATAGGTCCTGAACTTCTGGGAGGGTGAATTTGATCTTTTTGGCACCTCCGCCTTCTTCAATGGTCTTTCTCCCAGCCTTGCTTTAACCTGGCACTTGGATCCCATCATCTGCATCCTTTGTATCATTAAATGCCAGGAATAAAATGGTCTTTGCTTCTGGGTAAATTTCCTCCAGTGTCTATATAATATTGCTTAGATCAAAAAGCTAGAAATGTTGAAGGAAGTTGCTCTTAGAGGCCAGCATTTGGCTAGCATTCGAAATGTTCCTTCCCCTGTTATCTGGTTGGTTGGTTGTTTTTATATGAAAAGGGTTTCCGGCCCCCCCCCCCCCGCCCTCCGAGTTCAAAGGTCAAAAGTTGAGGCTAATATAGTCAAGCAAACACTACACTTTTCTACCTTGAATTCTGAGCCCTGTGATTTAAAAGCCTCAGTAATATAAGAAAGAAAGCCTAGTAGAGTCCACACAATCTTGGTCTTAACCTTTTTTTCTGTCACTTGGGAGCTGTGTGACCTTTTGTAATACACTTGACTTCTCTGAGCCTCCAGCACCCACTCCCAGCAAAATAGACATAGATCTAGTTGTGAGCTTATAAGATATAAGTGAAATAACTTATGTAAAGAGCCTAACCTTGTAATGTGTTAGGCTCTTACATTTAAATTTGTTTCATTTCCTTCTTTCTTTCCCAGGGGATAGATAGGATCTGAACAGAATTTGAAAAATACTAAAGTCTGTCTCTTCTGTCTACCTTAACCCCAAATCTCTGGACTGGTGTTTTTCTGTATTATCTGAAAAACCCTTAGTGGTTTCAGTCATCCTTTTGAGCTGTTCTTGCTATTTTCCATTTCTTCCTGTGTTTTCAGGGCAAGAGAGAAGAGGGCTGGTGATTGGCTTCAGAGGAGAGTAGCATCTCAGGGTCACTTGTTGTTAAGTGCCGTCAAGTCGGCTGCGACTCCATAGTGACCCTATGTACAGCAGCTCTGACGCCTGCCCTGTCCTGAGCCAGTCTCACTGACTCCGAAACACCTACACTCATTACCTCAGTTACTGTAACGATCCATCTCGGCCAGGGTCTTCGTCTCCTGCGCTCTCCCTTCACCCTTTCAAGCATGATGTCCTTCTCTAAGGACCGCTCTCTCCTGGCCACAACCCCAAAATATGTGAGATGGAGCTTCAAAATCCTAGCCTCCAAGGAGAAACTTGGTTTCATCCTCTCCAGGACAGACTTATTTGTTTACTTAGTGGTCCATGGTATGTTCAGAACTCTCTATATTAACTGAAGCTTTCTTTTTTGTTGTACTTAAACATTGACAGGTATTTAAGGGAACTCTGGTGGCCTAGTGGCAAAAAGCTGCACTGCAATCCCAGAGGTTTGCAGTTCAAATCCACCAGATGCTCTGTTGGAGAAGGAGGGACAGTCTTCTCTTGTGCCATTCAGATCCAATTTGATGGTACACATACACAAAAAAATAATAAAATAATAATAATTAAAAAAAACATTGACAGGTATTTAAAGGTCCTTATGTATATACTGTGACATGTTTGGAAGCAGGTGTAGTATCCACTTCCTAAATAACGTGCCTCTGGAAACTATGAATGTTGATAAATGTCGATAGTTGTAGAGAGGCTTCATGCCTTTTGTTAATGGGGTCGCTATGTGTCAACTCAAAAGCAATCAACAACAGCAACATGTATATGTATACTCATATTTTTTAAATAATATTTTTATTTTTTATTTATTTTATTATTTTTTTGTGTGTACCATCAAATTTGATCTGACAGGTACAGGAGAAGATTGCCCCTCCTTCTCCAGCAGAGCATCTGATGGATTGAAACCAATTATCTCTGGGATTGCAGTGAAGCTTCTTGCCACAAGGCCAACAGAAGTCCAATATTTTTTTACTTTAATTTTATAGAAAAGTCCAAAGATAACTCACAGAGTTGTTGTATATCCCTTGCCTTGTTTCTTCCCGTTAATATAATACCTCACTGTGGTACATTTGTCACAGCCAAGAGACCAGTGTTAGTTCATTACTGTGAAAAGGTGCACGTGGCATCATTGGAAGCCATCGAAGCACTGTCAGAGAGCATGGTGTGAATCAAGGTCAACTCCCGGCTGATCCCTCTGAGGCGACGGTCAGAATAGGTTGGTCTACTCTCCAACCCTTTTATCAGTTCTAGCACCAACTGTCCCTCTCCAGCTCCGCTCACTTCTGCTTTTGACAGTCTGTTGCAGTGGCCACACGGAACTCAGAAACCAGGCTTACAGTTAAGCCGTCGACTAGACTAGAAACAGAATTTAACTCAGGATCAAGATCAGCAGCTGCAGCTCAGCATCAGAATCAGGATGCACGTAGATCCATCGGGAGCAGGTTCCTCTTGACCCTGCTTCTGCCACCACCACCTTTGCCTACTGGACCCTTTTGCAGACCTCTTGCTGTCTCCAGTGATAACAGCTCTTTTTGGAGATTCTTGCCTTCTCTGCTTCTGCATTCTCTTTCTACTTTTCCCTGGTGCTCCTCTTTCTGCTTCTTTGTCTGACAAATCTCTGCCAATTTGGCCGCTAATATATACAACTCCATACCAATTTCAAAGCATCACCTCTCTCAGTAGGGATGCCACAAAGTGGCCACTTCCCTCTCGGTAGTCTATAGACAGTATTCATAATAGATGGAGAAGAGATTGAGGTTGTGAACAGTTACAGCTTGCTCAGCTCCACAATCAACACTTTTGGCACCAGCAGTCAGAAATAAAAAAACAAATTGTGTTAGGTAAATCTGCTGTCAGAGACCTTTCCAGAGTACCAAGAAGCAGTGATATCAGTCTAGAGACTAAGGTGTGCCTGATCCAGTCCATGGTCTTCACAATTACTTGCTAGCTGGATAATGACTGAGGATGATAGAAGAATTGATACCTTTGAGTTGTGGTGCTGGAGAAGAATCTTGAACATACCTTGGACTGCCGGGAAAACAAATAGGTCTGTCTTGGAGAGGGTGAAACCCAAGTATCTCTTTGGAAACTAGGATTTTGAAGCTCTGTCTTACATACTTTGGGCATATTGCCAGGAGGGACCAATCCTTGGAGGAGGACATCATGCTCGGGAGAGCGCAGGAGAGGAAGACTCTGGGCGAGATGGATTGATACAGTAACTGGGGCAGTGGGGGTTGGTGTGTTGCATTTAGTGAGACTGGCTCAGGGCAGGGTTCAGAGCTGCTGTACATAGGGTCGTTATGAGTGTCAAGTGACTCAACGACACATCACAGCAACAACATTCAGTAGACACTTCCTTGGCAGAATTTATTAATCACTGCAAGATACCTACAAATCCAGGGAGGGTTGTAGCCCAGCATCAGAAAAAAAGTATCAAACAAGTAGTTTAAAGCATAGGAAATTTCAGTCAACAGAGTGAAAAATAATAAACCCACTAGTGTAGAAACTAGGGCAAAGATAGAAAGCCCTGGGGTTTAGGGAGACTGTCTATCAAATTTTTTTTTTTAAATCAAGACAGTAGACCGCATAAAGGAATTCATTTCACCACAGCTATACCTAATTAAACTCTACACTTTATTTAAAATTCTCCACTTCTGTTCATTTCTTGTTCTAGCATCCTGTCCAGGAGATAGCATTACAGTTAAATAGTCCTGCCTCTGTCGTCTCCTCTGGTCGGTGACAATTTCTTGCTCTTTCCATGTTTGTTTATTTCTTTTTAATATCACCTCAGTGGTTTTGAAGTATACTAGTCAAGTATTTTGTGGAATGTCCCTCAGTTTAGAGCTTTCTGGGGTTCTTCTCATGGATAGGCAAGGATTAAGGTAGTTCTAGTGAGTTCTGATGGCTTAGTGATAATTGTGCAACCAACACAAAAGTACACAGTTCGAATCTCCCAGGTGATCTGTGGGGGAAAAGATGGGCAATCTCCTCTTCACTGCTCTTGGTGGGATTTACTGCCTCTAAAAACCCACTGGAGGGTAAGTTATGAGTCTGTTCTAGGACTCTGTGATACACAGCAGCAACAGGGAGGTTCTAAGAAGGTAAAGAGCCTTCTTTATCTGATAGCAGTAAGGATGTGATCGCCAATATGTGATATCATGGTTGCCTCGTTAGGTAGTATTAGTGTTCTCAATGTGCTCTTACTGAAAGGTGTTGGTTTTTTTTTTGTTCTGTTTTGTTTTGTCTCCCCCCCTCCTTTGTGTAGCTGTTAAAAAACCTGCTCCAGCACCCCCAAAACCAGGAAACCCACCTCCTGGCCATCCTGGGGGCCAGAGTTCTCCAGGAACGTCTCAGCACCCACCCAGTCTCTCACCAAAGCCAACCACCAGGAGCCCCTCTCCCCCCACTCAGCACACAGGCCAGCCCTCAGCCACCCCCCAGCTCTCCGCTCCCCGGAGGTACTCCAGCAGCCTGTCTCCAATCCAAGCCCCCAACCACCCCCCACCCCAGCCCCCAACCCAGGCCACGCCTCTGATGCACACCAAACCAAATAGCCAGGGCTCTCCCAACTCCGTGGCGCTGCCCAGTGAGCATGGACTCGAGCAACCATCTCACACACCTCCCCAGACTCCGACCCCCCCCAGTACCCCACCTCTAGGAAAACAGAATTCTGGCCTGCCAGCTTCTCAAGGCCAGGCATCGGGTAACCCCGAGACTATGCATCAACATGTGGGAACCCTACCAAGACCAAGACCAGTTCCAAAGCCGAGGAACCGACCCAGCGTGCCTCCACCACCTCACCCCCCTGGTGCCCACTCAGCTGGGGACAGCAGCCTCACCAACACTGTGCCCACAGCCTCCAAAATAGTAACGGGTAAGTAGCAAATCCATTCTCATAGCTCACTCTTCCTCTTTCCGTTGCTTTTGTGGTGAAACTCTCTCATTTGCACTTTTATTTAGAACAGGGGTCAAAAAAACTATGAGGGCAGGCCATCCATGACCAGCAGTTGTTGTCTGGGTTTTTGTTTGTTTGTTTGTTTGGGGTTCCCCCTCCCCATGTCAGATGCATATTAGCTGAAAGCAGTTTGTTTTCTTAAAGAAAATTCTTATTGGGCTACACCCGCACCCATTCGTTTACTAGTCTGCCTGCTTTTGTGCTAACACGGCAGCATCCGAGTAGTTTGCACAGAAACCGTGGCCCACAGAGCCTAAAATACTCACTCTGTGGCCCTTCATAGAAAAAGTTTGCTGACCCCTGATTTCATACTTAGGTTTTTTTAAGAGCTGTGAACATTTACTTTTTTAAAAAACATAATCAGAATGATTTTATATATATATATATATATCTATATCATGACTCAAACCTCTGAAGGTGCTAATGCATCTCTATCAGCAGGGAAACAGGGGTCCCCACACTTAGAGATCCTGATGCTGCTCAGCATTTGCTGCAGGAGGAGCGGTGTAGGTATAGAGGCCATCAAAGATCAGATCGTAAGGAGAAAACATTTCATTAACCAGCCTCCATGTAATTCACACAGCCTCAAGCCACCCGGACCCAGGCCCCCCAACACCCTTAATATTCTCCTCAGCTCTTCTGCTGAAGAAATTGGCCTTCACAATGACTGGTTGCTTTGGGAGCTTTTCCTTCCCCAACATTTTGTATTAACCCGATTGGACCACGTCAATGATGGGAACAGCTCCAGTCTTGTTTTTTTGTGGCATTTACCCTTGTCTGCTCACTGACCAAAGTCCATCATTTGTCAAGGTTGACAGTTGGGCAGAAGCTCTGATTCCGCTTCAGGTGGTAATGTCTCATACCAGCCTTTCCAAAATAACCTGGATGCTACTTGTCAAAGTTGATGCTTTGGTGATGCAAGCCACCAGCATTACCTCAGCTTCCCCCTAAGTTTGCGGGCCTTCTTCAGTCTTGATGGCATTTCGTTGGCTTACACGAAAAAGAGAGCAATCAGAATGATTTTTTAATCGAGGTGGAAGGCGGTGTTCAACATGAACATGAAATTCCTTTTTAGCAGATTCCTCCTTAAAATGCTTATTTTCTTCCTAAGAATAGTCATAGAAAATGAAGAATTTCCGGTATTATTATTATTACTGTTAAATTAGATGCTCTGGAAAGGATGCATATCAGGAAGAAAGGATCTAGATTTCCCCACAATCCCAGTAGAAGCCTGTGTTGGAGCAGTAGTCACTGTAGCTTTAAGTAGATCGGCAAAATTCCTTTGCAGTCTAACATATTGGAATATTTTAGACAGTCTTTTATCTAATTTTGATGTACTGTTTCATCTAATTGTGATCTTCCAAATCTTTCTGCTTCACATCTTCTAATTTTTGGCTTTGTTGTTGTTGTTGTTAGGTGCCATCGAGTCGACTTCGACTCATAGAGACCCTAGGAACAGCAGAACTGGGCCTTGCCCCACCCTGCACCAATCTGACCATCTTCGATATGCCCGAGCGCAGTTTTGACTTGTGGACGGATAAAGCACTTCTAAGTGTGTTAAAAGAAACTAGACTTGGGATTTCAGACTCATTTCTTACTGTAGCATGGTTTTAAATGGGGTGTTTTATACCTGTTGAAATAGACATTCGGCCACTTGAACCACCCGGGGTAACTCTCAGCTATAAAATGAGCCAAAGGTGGACATGCAAAAGTGTTACCCAAAGGGATAAGTATTAACATTTTTTTTATTATTAACATTTTATCATTTTTTCAGGCATATAATATGTTTAAGTATAAGCTCAATATGTTATGAATGGTTAATATTTTTTTCTTCCTGACAGTACCTCAGCTTTTATTCTTTTTTAAAGCCACATTGGTTTGTTTGTTTGTTTCCTAATAGATGCCCTTCCTAATGCCCTCACAGGTGGGGAAGGTTTCCAGGACTAAGGTCTGTAACCAGCCCCCAAGCAGCGTGTACCAACAGCTCCCAATGCTCCTGCTTAGCTGCCTGTGTTTTGCTTAGATGCTTTTGACTTTGTGCTCAGGAGTGGCCCCTGGGCCCTGTACCATGGCAGGCAATGGGCCATCCATTCTGGGGCATGTATATATTACTTTGGTTTTTATCAGAAACACTGAGCTGCAGAACTCTATATTGCAGAGGTTGATTAGAAGCTCAATTTCAAATGCCCAACAAGGAGACTAAGATCTTTTTTTTTTTGTAAGCCTCTTATGATTATTCTGCTTTTCTCATTGTGATTTACCTGTCATTAATTGTTGACTCATCAACACCCAACAGAAGAGGGCCCGGGTACAGTCAGCTCAAACAATCGCGTCCTTTTGTACTTTGGACTTTTAATTTTTGTATATTAAGTGCAAGTTAACTGCATGGAGCTTCTTAATTTGATGTCCAAGATTCTTAGGGCCACACATCAGAACAGACAACCTCCCAGGGATCCTACACTAAATTCCTTTGCATTCTAGCTAGCATGCTTATATTTTGCTTTCTATAACAATATGAGCTTTTTAAAAGGTGCTGTGGGGCTCATTTAATTTGTGCCTCTCGGTCCATGGCACAGCCTCTCATTATGGACGCAGTTGCTTCAATGAGCAGATCTGAGCCTTAAGCATTTTGAGGGTTCCATAGCTAGCTCATCACAGCTGTGGTTTAAGTAAGTCTTTCTGAAGAAGCAAAAAGGGTGGGTGGGGAAAAAGATCCAGTCTTTACAGCATGGAGTGAGGTATGTACAAGTATGTTTTCATCTTCTCACTCCTTAGTGCATAGCCCAAAAGTCCAGCCTGCCAGCCCCTTGGGTTGGGTGCAGAAGTCATTTACAGAGTAAAGGGCTTTTAACACTTGTAAACTGTGACACGCCAAAGTTGTATTTCTAAATCATGCCTGTGATTTAGATGAAAATACTGTGAATGAGAATTTTGTCATTTTACAAATATACATACATCATAATAATTATTATCACCTAGGGTGTTATTTATTCCAGAAGGTTATTTTATTGCTCTGCTGCAATATTATAACATACTGCACTTTACTTCGTAATGCTCAGAGAGGTGAATTTTGTTTTTGCAAAAATGTGTTCTTAAGATATTTAACAGCCTGTCTGTGCTATGAATTCTCTTAGCTCATGAAATCCCACGTGACCACAGTTATCTGCATCTGACAAAACTTAACCTATAATTTCTTTAAATTCTTTGGACTACCATTGGAAGGGTACAGAGAGCTAGGATGAGTCAGTTAATGTTGACCTTGATGCTGTTTGACATTTTTGCATGTAGTCACTGGGTATTTTTTTAAAAAATTGGGAAAACACAACAAACCCTTGGGCAGGATGAGTCTTTCTTACATCATGTTTTTGCTTGGAAACCTTAGATGAGCCAATTCCTGAAAGCGAGTGATTTTTTAATTTTTTTTTTATTTAAGATACACTCTTGGGGGAAGTTATTGTTGCCAAGCCGTTTTTGGCAGCTGAACTTCTGGCAACATAGCAAATGGCACCAGAGAGTAGAAGGGTTCTTGTGTCGTTTGGAGCCTGTTCTGAATTGTTACTCTAGAAAGCAGTGAGGTCTTAGCTTACTGGGTGAAAGAGTTTATCATACTGTTTTAAAAGTCATAGAGTTTAGAAAAGAGTATTCTAATTTAAACATTTTATTAAATAATTTAGATGTATGACCTGCCATATTCAGTAAGAACTGAAATTGGAATATTTAATGGTAAGGAAAAGGCATCTGATTGGCCAAAGTGTTTCTGCTACGTTATGATCATGTGTGTGCACTAATGCCTACTACTAACCAGCCACCCCAATCCTGCCTGCTTGCATCCCTACTAATAATGCATGCACCAGAGGACGTGTGGCTTCGTGCTGGCTGTAAGTTACTCGGAATACTAAGTATGTTCACAGGTGGTTACAGGGCTGGTCTTATCACATGCTGTTTTCCATTCCTTTCAATTCCAGGTTAACTTGACCTGTAGCGGGGAGGCGGGGAGAACTGGTGGAATAAGATACCTTTTAGACTCAGACAAATCCGGGTTAGAATTGCAGGCAGAGCACAAGTTGGTTGAACTGTGCAATGAAGGATGTTTTGTGACAATCATCATTGTTGAAGGGACTAAATTAGACCAATTAAAGAAAAAAGAAACTTTGGTACTTTTTTAAAAAAATAATTCTGATACTTTTTAATACACCAAGACAAACCCACACTCGCCACTATAAAATCAGTTCAAGTTTGAGGCTGTAAAGCTCCATGAGAGAAGGTGGCTTATTCCTTCCCTGAGAAGGTGGAATCATACTGTTGACCTTTTCATTAGCAACCTGATACATTACACACATGCCACCAGAACCCCCTTATTAATATACAACGTATTAATCCTTAATATGCATCTAAATAAGTGGTAGCTATTTGTTTTTTTAAAAATCTTTAGGAATAGTTTAAGCAAGGATCTATATTACTTCCAATGTCAACATCTTAGAAGATTTGGACACAGGAGTTCTCTGGGAGGGGTCACACATCCCTGTTATTACTCTGATTTGGGCAGTTCTCATGCTGCCACTGTATGATTTTCCTTATATTCATTATTTTATAGGCTACAGAGAAAGTTCTCCGGAGTAAGAAAGTATTTCTCAGTGTAGTGAGGCTGACTCATTCATTCCTGTATAATGAGTAAGCCTAAGTGGTTCTAATTAAAAGCTAGACATGCCTTATTCTCTTAGCATTTTCTTTAACAACAATAGCAGAAAAAACTTTTTCTTGTGCTTTTACAAATAAAAGCTTACAGAGCATTTGGTTTTCTAGTATTCTCTTTTTCAAATGAAACTTTTTTAATATGAACGTAACATTATTAATTAAAGAAAAGCTAGGGAAAAGTAATTAAAAATCCTCACCATTCTGCGATTGAGAAAATCCACTAT